GCTAGCAAATCGGGTAGCACCTTGAGGTATCAATGTTTTGTAGCAGGATAATTGTGATAACACTCTTAGGGCTATATAAACACCTGCTTAGCACACTTCCGTTCATTCCACATGGTGCTGCAGTGGCAGCTGGAGGGCAGTGGAGAAGGAAGGATGGGGAGGGAAGGCGAAAAATCTACCGTCATATCATGATTGTGTCCCTTCTACTGTATGAAACACCATTGTGTTGCATACGCGTCACTTCCAGAGGTGTTGGTGTCACAGGAGGAAGGGACCATAGCGGAGGATAGAAAGCTTGCGCAGGAAAGGAAGGTCCCGGCGGTTGACGGGGGACTAATCTGGTTGATAGAATGCACGTGAGTGTGCAAAAATGGGAGTGCACCTGGAGACATAGCAGCACATCGAACCATCTCGGTACTAGCGGGAAGTTTTCCTATATGTTCCGCAACCACCCTTGTGCTTAGCCCAAGCACGGCGAAATGCATAATTCTAGCCTTTCTTCGGAAGACCATCACGAAACATTCCGAAAATGAAGTCCAAAGATTCGCTAGGAGCAGATATTCACTTCTGCGAGCACCCTCGCTTGATTCTCATGAAAAATTCTTTTTTTTTCTGAGCTTATGATTAAGCTTATATACTCGATATCCTAGTAGATGCCGATAGTTGGGGCAGTGTCACCGGAAAGCTTCCAAACTACATCGCTGGATATCAGCAAAGCATGCTGGCAACAGCTTATCCACGCAACTTCTATCAAGTGCACGTCACTTCCGGTGACACACCTACCCCAACTTTCGGATATCGACTGTATTTATAATTTCATTGAAACAGTACAAAAACAAATAAAATATTATAAAAACTTCAAAATGGTACTGCGGCCAAAATTTGCATACGGGGGTTATTCGTGCTGGGGAATCCGTTGATAATGCTAGAAAAATTCCTAAATGGCTGCTTATTCTGGAACTGCAAAATTTGAGGGTGAGCTTATAATCATGAGAACGCACTGTAGTATACTGTAGTGTGTTTTGAGAATCAGTCGGTAAATTCTACCTGCCCCTTCACTTGCCTTTCAAAATTGCTGTTGTGTGGGATCGGTGGGGGAAAGGGGTTAAGGACTAATATTGGTGAATGAAAAAGGAAATGTGCTAATTCTGCCTACCTCACGCTTCTATTTGAAGCTTCCCACAAAATCGTCGAAATTCAGTGATAAGCATCCTTTCCCAAAACCCCGATCTATTGAACTTTCTCAACCCCACTAGAACTACGTTTCGTCAACCCCAAATACGACTCCACTCCTAAATATCGCAAATGCGATCTCCCGCCTGAAATGTATGGACTGGGATTTTGCTACAAAAACATTACAATAGTGCGACGATCAGTGCTGAAATCAGGAATTATACGACTGAAACATGTTCAACCCATTTAAACGCTCTTATCAGTGGATATCGTATCGTATGCAAAGCCTCATAGCTGCATTTGCAAAAGTAAGGCTAATTCAACACTTTGTAGGCTAAAGATGATGGCTCCTCTCCGTGTGCTTGTCACAGGTGCAGCAGGCCAGATTGGTTACGCAATCGTTCTTCAAATCGCCAAAGGAGACGTGTTTGGAAGGGTACTTGGTTCAAACAACTTTTGATATTCCTATCATGTTGCAAACAAATGTAAATTTTAGGATACTCCGGTTGTCCTCGTGCTGCTTGACCTTCCTTCTATGGCAACCGTTCTTGAGGGAGTACAGTATGAACTTCAGGATTGTGCTTTGGCAAATCTTCTAGGTCTGTTTAAGGTCTTCTATGTAGCTCTCTGAGTATCGGGTGCGCAGCAAACGCGATACACGGTGCACATCGCGAGGCTCAACTTCTACGTAGTGATTGCCCACTTCGCTCTAAAACGGCATGAATGGAGCCCCTCTATATGAAAATAGCAAGGGCAATTATGACAAAAACTTTGAGTTGTGCCCACTTCAAATTCACTTCTGCCAGCTGATGACAGGTTGGCACTATCGCAAGACACGGTGGCATCCTCCATGGCTAAGCCTAGAAGGATCATTCTTATCAGACAATCTGAACTCCTGTTTATCCTTGCCCGTCTAATGAAACGTTCGAAGTTGCAATCATACGTGTAATTAGGCGATTAGGCGATGATTCAAAAGGAAAAGTATACGCTTCGATTAGGCGATTGGGCGAATAGGCGAGTAGGCGATAAGGAAGAATATGTGTCGATTGTTGCTCCGCCCATCGAACGATTGCCCAATCGCACGTACGATCGCCACCTCTGAACGCTGCATAAGGCTTAGACCCGAATATAGCAAAAAGGAGATGATACGCGGTTTTCAAATGCACTACCACCACTATGCCCCATATTTTGCCGCAGCGCCGATAGGTGCTGAATTTGTGCTTGCTCAACTCTCGATTTTGAAAGAGATTTTTCACGCGGTTTAATATGCATTGACACCACATTATTCCGTAACTTGCAAAAACGCCGAAGAGGGATTTTCACCTCAAAACATAAACAACAATGAACACTGAGCATCGAGCAATTTGTTTTATTCGACACGGCCAGGCAAGTTCGTCTTGCATCTCCGTAGGCTGAGGAACTTAATGGTATCGTTGAACCTTGTACTATGTACACCACGTATTTTCCAATCCCTTCTACGAAATTTCACACTTCCCTCAAACGGGTAACGGGGGTGGGTCCCTCTTTTTGGCTTTCGAAAATCCGGCGCCATTGATTCGGAATCCTCCCCCTCTCCCTCCCAAATCACCAAATAAGACCTCAACAATTATTCTTTAATCCCTGTACAGTAGTTATATAGAAATGGCCGTGTAGCAACAGAATCGTCCGGAGACCCGCGCTAGTGGTCGTGGCCGCGACGTCGCGGTGGCGGTGGACGAGTTTCCGTAATCGTCATTCGATTGTGAATGAAAAAGGAACGCCAAGCGTTCGTTTCAATACCTGAGTAAACCTGGCTCGCACCTGAAGTGGGGCGACCTTAATGAGGTGTGAACCAGACCTAATTAAGTACAAAAGGTGCCCTTTCTACGAGATTAATCTTGGGAATCATGTGAATGAATAGATCATGAAGAATCATTGCTCCAATCGTCAAATTCGAATAAGGGCGCGCCCATCGAAAAACTGCCGCGTTGCGACGCCGCGCAAGTGACCGCGCGCGACGGCGTCACTCCCGGACGATTCTGTTGCACGCTCCCCGAATGCCTGCACCTGACCGTACAACGACTTGC